CAGCTTGAAGAGAACACGGAATTAGTTGTTGGTCTGTTCGCCGAGCTTGGCAGTTGGATTGCAAACGTTTCATCACCAACCGAGGTGACATCGTCAGTGCAGGGTTGAGTGGGTCACTTTGCAATCAAGCGTGTAGTCGTCGAAACGGTGAAAGGAACTTTGATGAGACCATGTTTGGTTTTATAACCAGGAAGTGCATCCGTGGCGTTTCACCAAGGGAATAATGGAGTTTCACAATTTCAATCCACGTAGTGAAATCCATTGTAAATGAAAAAAATTACCAATATCTGCACAGAAAACCTTTATGTGGCTACCAATAATAAAAACTTTTGTTATCCTTTGTTTGATCGGCTACGTTTACCTACCCAATCAAATGTTGCGTCTATTATGAGACACCCTGTACATTCCACAACATTGCTAGAACACGGAATTTTCAAGAGTCCGAGGATAGGAAGACCCGAACGGGTTATTGGGGAGCAGACCTTAAATCTTTGCCTTCAGAATTTACCTAAATGACTGATTGTCTGGTGATTGCCTTCCATTCTGGAAATATTTCTTCACCTTCAGATACACTTATCACCGTCCGAGGAGATCATTCTCAAAACGGGAGATACTTTAGGTCCGTAACTTGAAGTTCTCCCTACGCAGACAAATACAGATCCTTTGCTCTCTGAATTTTGACCGAAATATGCGTCATCTGTAAATTACAAAAATGAATGGTTTATGTGATCGATGATATGGACAATGGATACAACTAAGCGGTTATGTGTCGGTTCCAGATCTGTTGCCAAAAGGTGAGAAGATCTGTCGAGAGCTAGTATGCATTTAGTGTTGTTATCCACAAGAGCTTACTCATCCGGCCACCGGTAGATAATATAGACTGACTTCAGAGGCACATCGAGCTTCTGGCAGCCGCAGATTGGTAGGCGCCTATTATTTTAAAGATATATCTGAGTTAAACCAACTGGATGGAGTATTGTAAGTGCAACCCTCCTGCAGGTCAAGTGTGCAGACAGTGTGAACCTTTTGGACATACTCTGAGAACAAAACCCAGTTCGTGAAATTCCAAATAAATAATGAAAATGCGTGCTGAAAATGAGTGGTAATTAGGCAGTTTCATATAATCAAAGGGACAATCTGCGGAACATTGAGGCAATTAACCTATTGGGCGCTTTTTGATCTCTAAAATTCTGAATGAAACTGTGACATCCTCCTTTGACAAGGCGATGTCAGTCAATAGCCGTACCGATACCTCATTCGTGCTACTGTAGTCTTCGGGATCCAACTGAAACAAGAGAAGCTTGTAACAATTTATTGATCCAAGGTAAAGCACACAGCGACCTTTCACATTCAACTCAAGATCACGTAGGAGATTCTAGAAAAACACCATGATGGTATTTTAAAGATGGACGACTATTCAGGGAGAACGTATTTTGAAGCATCATTTGTGAATGGGTGATTACATTACGTTCTGTCACTGCCTTCCACGTAGCACAGAGCCTTCGGTCCATGGTGACTATCGCGGCAATGTAGAAACTGATGACAACCCCCTGGTTAGCCCTTGCGACAATTCTCGTGTGTATTTTCCCAAAGAGCAGCGAAAACTATTCAGAAATTAACACAACTTACCGAAATACACTCATTTGCAAACGAATTTGGTCTTGCGAGAGAGTCACCTGAAACCCAGCTACCTGATGAGCCCCAAGAAGGGCGAAACCGATCGTGGGCTGTCAGTTTTCAGCAACCTTATGAGTAGTGTATTACGTCTATAATATAAATTCCCTTTTAGAACGAGGTATTGTGTCTATCGAGAGCGTGAAGCCTGGGAAAATCAAGTACGACCGTGATCAGAGTTGTTTTGCTGTTATTTCCAGGGCTGGTACTTGGATTCACAACCCAACATTGATGCGGTGTACACTGATGAGGTCGAGTTCTGTAAGTTGCTAGGTGGTTGAAAAAAATGTCTATGCACTTGAATACAAGGATAAGACGGTCTAGATTTGACCAAAAACCTCAATAATCCAGCAGCTGTTTGTGTGAAATCTCTTCTCCAACTGGTTCCGCACCTTCAGGACCATAGAGGAATTCGCCCAAATGCACCTAGATTTTCTTGCTTTGCACAGTCAATATATCGTTTTGTTAACTTTGTTCGATTTGTCTTGAGCTCTGACGTGATTCATCACAGCAAATCAGGTTCTCATTTGTTAGCTGGTTTTGCTAGACCGGCCCCCGGAAGGACGAAGGGTTACTGCTTATTTCTGATTGTGACTTAATCACGTGATCATTAGCTCAGATTCGGTTGCTTTTGTTACATAGGGGTCAGTTCCTAGTTAAAATTACAGCAGTCTCTTCTGTCGCGTATCCGCCAAGCTGACAGTCAAAATCAGACTGACCAGGTGATGGTGATGACCAGGGGATGAAAATTACTCACATGGTGTATTTTCCGTTTAGGTTGAACATTGGGTGCTCGTTCTCTCTTCCGGAATTTAACACTCGTCATCGAAAGCGGCTAATTGCTCTCTCTCTCTCTCTCATGAAGATTTTTTTCGAACAGGAACGTTGTACGTCACACTGGTCAAAACAAATCGACTCGGTTGTTACAGATATGCACAGCACAAGATAAGACTCGGTGCATAACCGGAGTAGAATGACAACCATTAGTTAATGGTCAATCTGTTAGAGAACGTGTTCACATCTCCTGCTCCTCGGAAGTATGTATAAAGAGAGAGATAGAAGACTTAGCATCAGATAACGTCAGACAAAACCTAGTCTGCTACATTTGCCTTCAATTACTTTGGACTTCACTGTTTGCGTATGGCGCTGGTAATGTACACTTTGGATTTAATTAGTATGGAACGAGTGCTAAAAATCCTCACATAGCCTACAACCAAAGTGCTATTTTATCCAGCGTTTGCTTTTTTTCAGCTTCCGAATGATACATCTTGTGGAATATTTGTGTGATAGTTGGGATAACCCTTCGGGTTCACCTTAAATCTTGTTGTTGTTGGTCTGTTGTTGGTCTGTCACTAAAAGTCGCTTCCGCGCCCTCACTTTCGGCTGAAACCCTTGCATAAATCTAACGGTGTGTTTTGATATCGTCAAAATTACCATGCATACATATGTTTCGGTGACAGGACCTCCGAGGAAGAACCTTCCATTAAACCGAGTAGGACAAGCAACATAGATTGCTTACAGTTCACAGCTACCACATATGATACACGTGTTAACCAGGGCCGGCAGTAGGTCTCTTATTTTAAACGAAGACTGGTTTTACTTTGAGTCTGTTGCCGAGATAACTAAATAGATGTTGACTATACTGCAGGACCGTGGTTCGAACACAACCCTGCTCCTGTCTAGACTTGAGCAACATGACAATATCTTGGCCATCGTGTTTGATTTTGGTTGGTATAGCAGCTAGGCACAGAAAGGGCGTTACGGCAGAACGATTAATAGTTATTATTGACATACATCAGAACACTGCCATGTTGGTTTTGATGCTGGCTGGCTATTTTGTTAAGAATCTTCGGGAGTTGGCGTCGTCACGAGGAAATTTCTGATGGCATCAGCGACGCAGACATATTCTGTGAACTTATTCATTAAAGTGACAGTCATCCTGGAATGTTCGTTTGCAAACGTCATGTCTATCCCCGCAGAACTCCCATTGATGGTGGACGTTCATAGTGAGGCAAGGTAATATTCAAATATGGTCAGTTCTTTGCAGGAGTTTTGACATTTTCTCTATATGAAATAAGTTCAACGTATTCCAGTACTGCTTTCAAATGCGTAGGATGTTTATGCGTGATCAGTTAAAAAACACGAATGTCTGTAAGAATCCATCAAATCAGATGTTTAACTGGCAAACCTACGGCACCTTCAGGCACCTCTTCTTGTTCTGTGGGTTCGCTGTTAGAAAAACTGACCTTGACTGTCACAAAAATGTGGAGTGTTTGACCCCGTAGGTATTTTTTTCGCTTTATTATACCAAGGAGATGCTATCTGGCCTCATTATTTTCTATTTTACCATTAAGAGATTGCTTTTTGATTCCACTATTCCCAATACAGAGTACTGCCCTTCAGGCAAGTTATAAAGTTTAACCGCTTCACAATGATCTGGTATCGGCTGATGTGTCGATGTATGTTGCACATTTGTGTTGCACAGTCGAAAAGCACATGGATCTAGTGACACAGTGCTCTGTAAAGGCACTTGATCCTTGTTGGGTATCGAGATTAGATCTCACGAACTCCCAATCAGTAATGGACACTATACGATTTTGGTCAGCCTAGTCTTAATCCGCCAAAACCATCGCGAGGGTGAAGCCGACCAGCTCATCGATCTCTGTATCGATTGGATCAAGTTCAAAGGACGACCTGCGTTTTGTCACACAAATGGACTGACTTGACTCAGTATGAGATCAACCAACCAATGAGATAAGCTTCTAAGCTTTTGAGGGTTGGTTTGTACAGGTTAAACATCACGATTCAGTTGGTTGTGTTAGTGTGCTTACCAATGAGATTTGAGGTTGAATTACTTGGTTTGAGGTCATCTGGAGATCGGCGATACCTGTCATCTAATCACTGCTACTTCCATCCGGCGCGTCATTCGTTAGCCCACAACAAGTCCAACCTACGGAACTTGTAAAGGCTCGTTGCGTTGTAGGAAGCAAACTACCCTTTAATTTCTTAGTGAATTAAATTGTACAGGTGTTATTTATGTGGTGATGTGCTGACAACATTTCGTTTCCAAGAATCGAATCGTTCAGATGTAACACCCTTTCGGTGCCTAACTGCCATGCCACCCGAAGGTTGTACGAGGGCTGGGATACTGCCAGGTTGCCCAAGCCTAGACAGGGGAAGTCGAGAGGCTGAGGTCGGGTTCGAACCACGGACCTTCCGGTCAGTAAATTCGCGCTCTAACCACTTGGGCCACCTCACCCCTGAGCAATTTCCAAGGGGGATCATGGAATATCATGAACATCAGAGAATATGCACTCATTTGCAAACTAATTTGGTTTTCCGAGAGACTCAACTGGAACCCAGCTGAATCTCTCGTTTGCGATGTTTTCAGGAAACTGAACGTGCGTTACGAATATACATGTATCGCGATGTCTCGAAAAATGTAGCAACTGAAAGATGAAGCGGCTTGGTGAAGCACATTCGGTTGTCTGGAAACATCACAAACGAGAAATTCAGGTTGGTTCCAGGGTCATATGTGTGCACTGTATCATATTTCTTTTTACGTTTTCTCAGCTTGTCACTTCTCTATCCCACCTGTCGTCACAACTTCTCGAATAGTTTTGAGTACGACGGATGCGTGTTTTTCGAGGAGACTCACCTGGAACCCAGCTGAATCTCTCCTTTGTGATATTTTCAGACATCAATTCCCTCAAGCCCACCTACTGGATCGGGCAGTGTGATGGCGATAATCGTAGTTTCACCCTCGTTTCTTAGGTTATTTCGAACACCTCATTGTGTTCGAAATAATAGCTCAAATTTCCAATCGGTTTTTTCTACCAAACATATTTGCTGACCATTGCAATTATACTGTCCTTTCAATCTAAAAAGTCTCTCCACCAATACACTGTCCACTAGCACCGTGTGGATATCATCGTGAGGAATGAAGACGAGAATTTCTGTTTATCGGTTCGAAAGTTCTCGAAAAGGCAAGCTTTGGACGAAGGCAACTTGGATTCAGTGAGCTCAAACTAACAGAAAAAAAACGGAACCAATCTATGACGGTTGCCCATAAGTTTCCACAGGCCGTAGAACGTCAAATCAGGCAATCGGCTTGCTCAACCTGTCCCGCATAGATCCACTGAGGGGACGGAAAAGCCGTGTGCTCTTTTCCAGGAAAAAGGATACAAAGAAGAAAGGACTACACCTGACCAGAAAACGAGGTACGAGTAAAGTGGATGAAGCAACTCATCTAAAAGACAAGTCAATAAAAAGCAACTGCAAGTTTATTCAAGACTGGATGGATTATACTTTTGGTTTTCTGAAGGTGGGGCCATGGTGTTCCATCTGTGATACAACATCTGCTGTGATGTACGAGCTATCTAAGACAAGAGGTAACCAACCTCAAAGTTGTCATGCTGCTGGGTAGAGATGAAGGTGAGTTATTACAGAAGAATTCTGCGAATATGCACTTTATCAACCCCAAATAATCATGCACTGCGATTCAAATTTTCAAGTACATTTTTGACCAGCTGATGACCAGAATTCTCACCTACTTCAAAATGACGGGAGTTTTACGGTAAGAATATCATGTGCAATAATTTGCTGAAGAGCGAGCATGGCTTTAGAATTAATAATCGTGTTTCCGGGGTGTTTCGCTGCTCCGGGGATGGAGAGTGAGTGGGCAGTCTAGTCACCAGTATAAATTCCCATCAGACTTCTCACCTACTTCGAAATGACGGGAATTTTACGGTAAGAATATGATGTGCAATAATTTGCTGAAGAGCGAGCACGGTTTTAGAATTAATAATCGTGTTTCCGGGGTGTTTCGCTGCTCCGGGGATGGAGAGTGAGTGGGCAGTCTAGTCACCAGTATAAATTCCCCCAAAGACCAGTAGTGTGATACATTTCAGCAATTGGTTCTTCTTCATTGGTATGCTCTCCGCCATCTTTGTTTTCTTCGAACGGTCCAGAAGTACTTAAGTGTTCATTATCTTCAGAGTAAAAGCGTACCGATACCTGCGTTAAGCTCACCGAAAATGGCTTTAAGTGTACACTCTTAGAGTCTGTATCCGCCATACTAACAGAGTCAGAAAGTATGCAGAAGTCACAATAAGGTATCGTCAAGCAACTAAATGCCTGCTTCGGGCCGTCTCATGTGTCCGTTGGAACGATATTCGAGATATCGCGATACATGTACAGACGTGATACACTACTCATAAGGTTGCTGAAAACCCTGACAACGCACGACCGGTTTCGCCCTTCTTGAGTTGAGTAGGTGGGGTTGCGTCTCAGTTGTACTTTTTTGTAGAACCATTGGAGAAGCCACTTCTCTGAAGAATCCCTTGTCATCCATGCGTTCTCACCGGCTCCCTGCTGTATTCTCAGCTAGTCCGCGCTCACAGTATTGAAACATCTTGATTTCCCCAGTAGTTACTTACACTCAGGGGTGATATGCGCTCTCTGGCAGTGCAAGGCAGCTGGACAGTGATGCACTATCCCTCCACTATGCTGGGCTTCAAGACGGCGTTCATACTAGCGGCAGTGCTTGACACACAAGTCTACAGCTGGCAAGCCACGGTCATTCGTTTCTGCCCTCTTTGACTGACTGGGCGAACATGGAGTGACATCAAGATGAACCTTTCAATGTGCTGACAATTACGCGGCCTGGATGTAGGTTGGCTGAAGCTTACTAAATCTGGTAGCAATACAGCCAATAATGTTGTGTGATTTCATGTTCACATATTTCTTTTACCTCGGTAAAAATGCTTATCTCGTTAATAAAAAGCCTTGATCAGTGATCTACAGGGATTTACAAACCGTAGAATTACGACACAAGCTGGCTAAATAGTTGAGTAATTGGCCTTGATAGTCACGTGCATAACTGTCGTATGTTTATGGCAGTGTCGATGAAATCGACATTTGATAGCCGACGTCTGGGTTCCACACCGTCAGCTGCGGTGAATCATTGGCTATCGAGGAGCACCCACTGGGATTGTATACTGAGCACCTTCGACATTTGGAAATTCGTATACTTGAGGGAGGGATTTGCTCTCGGGGGTCAGGTTCACTTAGTGCCTTCCAGACAAACCAACTAAGCACGCAACCAGGTTGTTGTGAGGTCACGTTAGGCATGCTCAGTTTATTGTAACTTATTCGCACATGAATGAAGAGCCTGATTAGTATGATTTCGGCACGAAAGTATTCACGACAGCAAAATTTTTGTCTTTCGATTTGACGACTGAACACATCCAGGAAACATGGACTCATTGTGACTGTACCAATCAATCAACATTCTGTTACAGATTAGCGCGGGCTAAATAGAATAATCGCGCCACGAGGATTGTCCAGATGTTGGCACAGAAAAGACTAACTGTTTGTTAAAGGGTGTTAACAGAAAGCTGTCTAAGTCGGAAAGAAATTTGGCCAAAAGGTTGCAATCAAGTCAACTGGATCATGCATTTCCAACGCAGCTGAAGAGCATGGTGGGACGACAAGAGACAGGGGAGGGAAATCCAATTGTGTGGATGTTGTTCAACCAGAGGAGCCACTGCTTCCAGTGGCTTTCAGTGGATATCTGTATCGAACTCCACTGTCAGCGGTTTCTACTTGTTTCAGAACCAGTGAATGCTTGAGGTTCGGTGGTTATGGAATTGATGGACGGATGTTGGATGAATACTGAGCTGTGTATTAACACGAGCACCGTCAAGGTCAATTCACCGTCAATCAGACTGACTCTTTCATATGGGTTTTGTGCGTGCAAATCAACCTCCGTCCCCCTATTAGCGGATAGCCAACCACACAAAGTAATCCGTGTGAGGCACTCGAATATCAAACCTATAGGAAAAAGTCCTCGGATGCGAGAGCCCGGCAAGGTTGAACAACGTTCAAGCGGAGGCTAATTGGGACAGGTGCGTTGTCGGATGTTTCGGGAACAGAAGGCTAGTTCACACCGTACAGGCTCCGCAGTTTTCTCTGTGTTTTACTTTACAGTCCGAAAGCAGTATTCTGATTACTATGGTGATACCAGCTCACTCTTGCTATGCAATTGCTGTACAGTGTCATTGCTCGTCAGTCAAGTGACCAGTGATTTCTAATGTAGTTCGGGTGGACTCTTAATTCGGGAGAGAGAAATGACTTATGCTTACAGTCGATAAAATTGGACCACTCAGTTTATCCTTTGATTGTTATTGGGCACTGTTTATCACGAAAATGCGCATCGCTTATTAGGTGCTGGGTTACTTTCTAGGCGTTCAAATCTAGCTGAGGGAATAAGGGGCACAAAGTGAGGTAATCGATTTCAAGCCCTATCTGCAACTTTCCCATAACATGGGAAACCCATTTCCACCGAATTTCGCACGACTCCCATGTTTGTCAGTGCACGAACAAATTGGACGTCAGCATCGATTTTTACGCGCCCGTTCCAGTCGATCACCCATGGAATGCACGATTGGTGTGTGCATCCGTGCTTTGGCAGCATCACTGCGTGCTGCACCGATAGCAAGTTACCCGGGCCGACATTTTCACCCCGTCTGACCAACCATAGCTGCGTATCGACCTCTGGAACGAGACCCAGTGCCCACTGTATTTCAGCCTACCAATCATAAAGGCGCGTGATTCTGCCATTCTCGTGCGCGCATCCCCAAGTTCGGCCTCAGGACGTACGGGCAATACGGGTGACTAAGACGCAGCTGAACAGACAACAGTAACCAGGGCTATTTTGGGACAGGAAACGCATGATTACTGCCGCGTATGGATTGTGTCGTCTACGTGTTGTACGCGCAGATATGCATACCAGAAACAACCCACCATCATGACCACCGTTTTGATAGTTCCGCTGATAGCTATCACTCATGGGCAGGCATGACACGTAACACTTTTATGCTTAGGAATTCGAGCCAGCTTAATAACGGCTGGGCGAAATGTTTCGCAGGGGCTGTGATTTTTCGTAAAAAAAGGATGCTTTAATTTGGCGATCCGCCGACCTCTATATCTAGGTTCTGGTGACGTGCTTACCTCACCTGCATGATCCATTCCTTAGCTGTATCTAGGATTACCCGGAGCTTTGTCGCCTTGACCGTTCCACCGGGATGACTGCCACAGTGACTGCCTTCAAATTCAACGCAGGGGAAGGAAAACACGATTTCCTCATGGTCAAAAATATTCTCAACTTTTCTACAGATGCTGTCAATAGAATTGCGTTCTATCTCTGGTGGCTATGCCACAAGTGAGCAATATTCAAATGGGTCAGAGTCCACACAGTCTGAAAGCAAGGCACACTAGATACAACTGCAAAAACAAGGTCCTGTGTGTCCACAGGATTACACTACTTTTGCATTTCGAGGGTACGGTTACTGTGTAGCGCATCGATCGTTCACGGTCAGATTGAGTACGCTTATGCTGTTGAAGTTCAAAAGGTGTTGTGGATAGATGACAGTTGCATTTTGAAGAAGTTTTTGCAATTTTTTGTTTTTAAAGGCAATAATACCAAACTGCCTATTTATTCATGTGAATCGTTGAACGCCGCCCTGGTTACTGAGCAAAATACTGTGCACAGATTTTGAACAACTAACAGGAATCATACGAACCCTAGTTAGTAAGGCAAACTGACGGCAAGTGTCATTGTATTATCATTCAGCTGATCGTAAAATCGATAAATGCGGAAACGACTGATTTCAAACAGTTCACTGTAGAACATCCCTGCGATTCTCTGCCCTGATTGGGATGAATTACTGAGCAGCTGACATAAAACGTTTCTGGACTCACCTGTTGAATTAATTAGTTTTTAGTCACCTCGGCAAACTTTTGCCGTCTCGAGTTACCAGTGTGTTTATATAATCCTGTAGACGAGCTGTTGAAAACACAGCCTTTCCACCGTTATAAATAATTATTTATAACCCATCATTTCAATCTATTTTGAGAAAGATTAATAAATCGACGCTTCACCTGTGATCTCAGGTGATTCATTGCTGACTGGGTCTACACCTTTTGTCCGAAGTCCTAGCGCATTGCGCAAGAGTTCCTCTGTTTTCTGACATCACCTATGATCAATTAAATATATTTTGAGACGGCGACGTTTTCTCTCGTCTGATCGATCTGTTTTGGTAAAAATTTCCATCGTAGCACCGATTCACACACGTCTGTGAACGCGACTGTCCGACAGTCTGACTTAGTGGAAACGTTGAGAAACGAGGAATACATGTGTGCGCGGATAACGGGGTGTCTACGCGGATGATTTGCTCGGGGCAGTTCTTCTGGAGCTACACCGTTCACAGACTACTTTCATTCAGAGAACCGATCTGGTCGGTTATGAAATCAGTGGACAGAGTGCAGTGGACCAAATCAAAGAGTATGTGATTTTTTTCCAGGATATAAACTGAGGAAATTCATCGAATATACATTCATTTGCAAACTAATTTAGTTTTTCGAGAGACTCACCTGGAACCCAGCTGAATCTCTCGTTTGTGATGTTCAGCTGCTTTCCAGGTGAGTCTCTCGAAAAACCAAATTAGTTTGCAGATGAGTGTATATTCGCTAACTTCGTGCAATTTGGTTTGAAGTAGAACATAAGGTTGACGGAAACCCGGGGACCGCGCCTAGCTGATGAGCCCGAAAAAGGGCGAAACCGTTCGTGGGCTGTCGACGGATTTTCAGCAAACTTATGAGTAGTACATTACAAAGATATGAGGGAATTCATCATCTACTGACAATACTCACTTATAGACTTTAATAGTCCAGTGACTTTTTTGGAATGCCCTACTCCATCGTGGAGTGAAAGCTTCGATAGATATCTTCTCTGTGGGTGTTTTCATGAAAGGACCGAAATGGTGCTACTTCCCACACTTACTGCTGAATAGTCAAGTTTTACTTCACAAATGTTTTAAGCAACAAATCTTTTCAGTTCATTTAGGTTAACTATTCTAGCTAACCGGTCCTCTTGCCTAATCTTTACTGAGGCACACTAGAGACGAATTGCATGCAGGTGGCTGACACCAGAAATTTGGAAGATGGATTAATCTGGTCAGTCAGCTGGATTATGATGGAAGCAAGAGAACAGACTACTAGCGAAATATACCGGTTTGCACACCAATTTGTTTTTTCCACAGACCCATCTGAAACTCTCGTTTACGATGTTCTAGCTCAAATAAATGTGTTGCACTAGGTCGCCTCATGATTCCCTTGGTACGACATGCCAGTATTGCAGTACGTTGCGTGGATGTAACAGACTACTTGTAAGGGTGCTGAAAATTCTTCATCGAAAAGTCTCTCTCAATTTTATGATTATTGTGTTCTCGATATCTAGATGACATCGAATATCGACAAAAAAGTGGTGTTTATCGAGAACCGAGGTGAGTTGAGTTTTATTTCCAAGCCAACTTCAGCAAAGGGTGTTTTGTGCGGCTTTTGGGCCAAAAATGACCGACTAACCCAAGTTCTGCTCAACCTGGAATACCCAGATGATGGTTTGTGATGGTGCGTCAACTGTTCTCAAGATACCAGCGACAAGAAGGAGGCCTTCGCTGCGGATTTATTTATTAGAAAATGCCAACTGAACAGTTACAGACTATTGGACAGGGGAGCAAAACACTCATATTCATCTTGTTTACAAAACTGAAAATCTGTCTTCACCTTGAACGCGTCTTCCAGAACTTTCCTGGATATTCATTGACTGTTACTCAGTTGCAAGCAAATGCTACACAGCAAATCCACAAATTCCTTAATTGATCCCACTTTTCAAGAGACGCGAAGCGGATTTACGAGAAAACATACTACTCGCATGCCCCATCACCAGTAGTATCACCGTTAAACCAGTAGTTTGAATTAGCAGCCGTCTAGCAGGTTTGGGTTTGGAGCTCTGGACTGTCATCTACTTGGAAGTAAGTTAGCTGTTCTCGCAACGGGAAAGTTCTTTCGCTTCAGTTCTTGCTTGAAACGGATTGCGTGTTGTGTAAGTCATCCACTTTATTGAAATTTTATTCGTTGACAAACTACCGTGCTTTTTCGGAAACATCGCCCTTACAGGTAATAGGATAACACCTCAATAGGGTCATTCATGTCGAGCTTTCACAACTTCTGTTCACTGGGAAACCACAAGCTGACGTTGGCCATTCATTTCTAGCTCCAGGCCACTGTCGATATTCAGAACTGACCAAAGTTAAGCGAAAGCCAAAAACTGAGCATAAACCGTCAAACGCTACTATATGCATGAAAGTAGGCTGCGCCATTCCGACCAAATTACTCAGGTGACCCTATCACAAAGTGCCTGTCACAAAAGTTCCACATCAACGCGTACTTTTAAATTGCTGCGTTTGATGTACACACAAGAACAAGTTCACCATATGACCCAAGCGACCATTCCAGCTCAAGTCGCTGGAAAATTTCTCGTCCTAGAACTGTCTTTTTTTGTGTGGCGTGTGTGTGGTGTAAATCACAATACGACTTTTGAACTGATAGCCATAGATGATGCAGTTAGTCCAAACAGTGGATTGCTGGGTTCCAGAGAGCCCAGTAAAACAAGGTCCATGACAAGAACCACGCAGATGTAAGCCTAGGCTTTGAAAACACAACCGACCAAAGAATTCAAAGAACTTGCTGGTGTTCACAGCGTAATAAAAGAATACGTAAAATTACACTGAAAAATTTTAAGAGGGATACTTGGGGCAGAATATCTCTGTGAATCCCCTTGTGTGTGACCTCTACATCGGCACAAGCAGCTCCATTACATGAAGATCGTACTTTAAGATGGTGACAAACTGAACAGGTAGGTTCTAAATTATTCTTACACACTCGTATAAGCTGAAATGCTACTACTAGATATCAAAGCTTTCACGCTGAGCGAGGCAACGTATGCCACTTGGTAAATCGATGCCGAGTTTCTGTTATACAGTGTCATTCTGCACAGCGTAAAGCATTGGCCACCTGGTCAGCAAACACCACCATAGGGAGAGAAAAAGCGTCGTTCTTCCTGAAGCACGAACAGGGCGGCGAGATGCAATCGGACACGAAAAGAAAGGCCTAATATGAGCAGAGCATTTGAAAAACCCAACATCTTCAAGCATTCTTTTGGGCTTTCCCTGACGTTGCTTGATTATTCAGCGGTGATGGACAGAACTGTAAAACGGTTCAATAATTTCCAAATCAGCCTTTCATTGGATAGACTGTGAGCTCCTTAAACTATTTCGGTATGTACTACTCCTACGCTTTGCCAGTAGTGTGTGCCATTAGACTAGTATCTTTCACCACCCTACCATGCCTAAACTGGCTAGCAGTACCTGACAGCCTCCTGCCTGTTTCCGAGCTGCTGATATTTCCCCCGCATTTATATCGAAGTACTAGACAGCTGCATATTCCTACAAATCATTTGTGTTATTCTTATTGGGTGCAGGGTGGGGACCGCGTGATCCTCACTGTGCCTGGTTGGAGACACTACAAGATATGGCTGCCAACCGATGTCAGTGGCGTTCTTGTTGTCAGTTTCTATCCAGATTGCCTGAGTGAATGTCTGGAGGTGTGTGCACCTCGGAATGATTGTGGTAAGCTAGCATCAAGTCCCTTCCCCATCCATCTTTACTCTTTTCTTTACAATAATGCTTTTAAGTAAATCATGGTTGTGAAGCATCATTGTTGAACACTGATGTCATGCTGTCGATGACGATGATGATGATTAATTGGGCGCATGGTCTTGAAACTAACAACTGTGATTAGGTGTGTTATATCTGCTGATTCGTTAATCTGTGGTATCTGCTGCTGACCGGCTCCAGTGCCTAATGCCGGAGAAAAAAGACTCACAGAAGGGAACACAACCGCTATATTCCGAACTAGCGAGTGCGATAGCAAAAGTTACAATGGCCCCACGCTATTCAAAGGGGAGTTTCTGACACTGATCCAGGCTGTTTGATAGGTGTTAATGAACACCCATCAATATCGATCGTGCCTCTGTGATAAGCCTGAACGCTGATCACATTCGGTAGTGCTTCTGTGGCGTGCCTGAGCACTCATCAGATTTTGCTGGATTGATTGAATGATTGGCTGGCCTGGATGCTTACCGGATTTCCTGTTGAGTTTTTTGGTGGAACAGTAGGTTTCGGGCGTTCTGAGGTTGCTTTCAAGAATCTGACCTTCCTGATAAGGTGACTGACTGATACCAGCTACCATAGCTTATAATAAGGGAGAAGGCGACCCAGAATTACAAAACATGAACAAAAGGGAAGCTGCCGAACCGTTCAAACAAAGATGCGTTGAGTTTTGTTGATTTTCAAGGTTAATTGGAGACTTTCCGTCCATATTCGTACAGGTGGTATAAGTCACGTTATTTCGCACTTTTCGGATACCCCGGGACAGTCACTGTTGAGAAGCACTGTTCACTTTTGCAGTTTCTTTCACTATTGAATTGAAAACATTGACAGAGAATCTGAAACTTTGTAAGTAGCACAGTTGTATATACTTAGCCGCATTACCTGTTGACAAAGAATGCGACAAATTTGCAACTTAGTCTAGGGTTAGTGGACGAATGTTGTCGGTTCCTGATACAAGATATCGCAGCACATCACCTGGAGATGGGTGTTTAAAAGGGAATCTCACACTAGGAATGTAACCTGGCAGGATTTCATTTAGCATGTCAGTTGATGTGCACAACCAACCTTTGCGGCTTCGATATCAGAAGGTCGCTGGGATATTAGTTGCGGAGGTGCGTTTGTTGGTGACTGATCATGCTGTCGTTGATCTGTTCGTCGCGCGTAGTAGTTGGTTTGTAAGCATTTTTTGCATCATCGATCAACCGCTCACTGATGATGAGTTAGGTTGCTTGTTACGTAAGTCTTACGGTATAACACTTGTTTAAATGAACTGTAGATCACTGTGAGGTAGGGGTCGCATTCAGATTTATACTTTAGCTCACCTAGTCAGCATGGGGCACAGTACTTCTGATGGTGTACTAAGTAGTACGTAGTCTTGCGACTGTCGAAGCCAAGGTCATCCGTCTTGTTGCACCGTAACTTTGTGAACAAGAAAAATGCGCTCAATCTCTCTGACTGTACTGAACCAGCTTTCGCCCATCTTCTGAAGACAGTACACACAAAACCACATCCTACCCCTAGACCAGTTGGTTACCTTTGCTCTGACTAGCATGTACATTTTCACACTTTCGTGTTTGTTTTACTATATTCGGTTCAATTGTATTGCGTTTGGTCCTATCTATGATCTGTACCGTTCAGAAGATGAGGCACTGAAAACACGAGTTCGCCTAGCGTCTCTCCTTCAATAATTGATACCTAGGTAACTCAGGGAGTCTATAGAATTTTACTGTAGGTGACATATTTATCCACACCATCTCTTGTAATTGTCATCTTGCAAACTGGACACAGGTATATCTTCTAGGTCGAATATGATTCACCGGAAGCTAGCCCAGGTGATATTGTTTTAATACACATGCTACTGATAGTTTTTCAGTAGCAAGAAACTTGTCAGAGAGTCTGAGCAACAACCCTGGATGGGAAACACCTGGAACGGTACCTTGCAAAGTAGCCACTTTTTCAGCCAGACTGTCATTCTCTGTGCAGTGGAGGACATAGCCTGAACAGCCCACAAGGAGGTTACTGAGACTTGTGTTTCTGTGTTAGCAGCTACAACAGAAACGGGTAGTTGCATTTTCAACACTTGGCCAATATAAGGCTATAATTAGTGAAACGCGAGCTATTGGGCTTTCACCCGATTGACTGATGGGTACAGTTTTGACCAAAAGTATACAAGCAAGGCTTTATAGTAGGTGTATTATAATCTGTTTGTGGAAGCCTCTACATCTGACGTTGCAATGGGTAGCACAGTGTGAGCACTGCTCATAAGGCCATACTGCCATTCACATTTATCTCACAATCACCTCTTAAATTAGGTACCTGCTGAGGTTATGTAATTTCAGACAATAAAGAACCTATATAGCCCACGGCTCTTCTCACAATCTTGCAACTCCTGCAATCAAATCCTTCCCTACTGGTCCGTAAGTTCTCCGCACTCCTGGTATCTTTGTCTTGTCTTGTAGAAATTTCAAAGGTGAAACAGATGTTTTGTGTGATATCTAAGGGATGCTTATCATGTGCCGATTAGCTGAAACGAAACTCCGATGAAGCATTCGAAGACCACCAAGTAAGTAATGCATTCCAACTTTGAGCCAACCGAGATGCGATGTCTAGCGAGCTGGTGGCACTGATACCTAGTTTTCCTCAAGTTTTTGATGTTTCATCACATCGTCATCGAAAACAGTCCAATTTGGGTTCAAGTAGAACATAAGGTTGATGAAAATTCGGGGACTGTGCCTGCCTGATGAGCCCCAAGAAGGGCGAAACCTGTCGTGGGCTGTCGAAGAGTTTTCAGCAA